CAGAAGCTAGATTAAGTTATATGGGCTTAACGTAGTATCAAACACTTCGTACGTACACTCAACCGACAGGTAGATTTAATACAATTACAGGAACCATGTGAGTCTGTTCATATTTCAGTTGTTAATTCTAATACTAATGAGTATATTCTAAGTCATACGGAGTGTAGATCACCAACGTGAGCGATCTGTGTCTAGTGATTGGGTACCTACTCAAGTTATTGATACCGCCATCGCATTGACCAGTTCATGGCATACGATTAACTTATGCACGTTGGTTGTCTTTAACTCTGGCTACTATCGATGATCCGTTGTTGTTTTGTTGACGCCCAACTAGAAAATTGTCTACTCACATAAATAATTTACCTATATTCTCAAAATCACTGATTTTAGGTTGCAGCCTGCTATGTGGAACTGTTGAGATCCCTACTGAAGTCGATAAAAGGCCACATCTATAGATAGCCTATGATATTTTAGAGCATACCAACTCTCACGGAATACTAATACGTATATGAGACATGAATAACCTGTTCTCGAACCGCACCGCCTTTAAGAAAGAATCAGGTCTTCACCTGGAAATTGGAATAAGGCATTCTGAACAATCTTTTGTAGAACCTTACAAATCGCCCTGGTTATGCTCATGGATCGATAATTCCCACACCTGATTGAATGACAACATTTACTACGTTGTTTCAGTTCTCCGGTTATTTGCCCTAGGTTACAAATAGATTGAAACATGTGCTCAAGAGATTCGTGATAAAATTTCATAGCTGTTTTTGTAGTGTAGGATGCACTTCACCCAGTCCCTTAGATTTACCTACATAAAGCTTTTTTGGCTTTCCGGTATTGAGATTTTTACCTCATCAATAACCAGTAATTTAAATCTCTTCCTTATCTTTTTCTGCCTACCGGAAAACGCATGAACCTCCTTACTGAACCACAGTGGGGGACTTCTCAGACTCCCTGTTATAATTCAAGGAAAGTGAGGTGTTATAACTTTTACGTGTAAATTTCTAAATACTTGTGGTTCTATTGTTCAATCTACTTAGGGTGTTGAGTGCATAATTTATTGTATATTTGCTCCCCAAACGTTTAGTCTGGCTCGGGCTAACACATCGCTGTTGATAACCATACGAAAATAAAAATTTTTGACTTCATAGTCACTCCTACCCAGTGTTGGCATTAAATCGAGGTTTGTGACATCATCTCCACAATGAATTAATGAGGTGCAGTAAAGATGATTTGGGGTCCACGTTGTATCTAGCCGCTCCTCTCACATGTTGCGCCAGGGCAAATATAATAACCGCGTCAACTGGTTATGTCCAAAAGAATGTGTTCTTTGGCCTTCCTCTTTTCCGCTTCCCTTCAGGATTCCAAGTTAGCGCTTGCCTCGTAATGCAGTTTGATGATTTCCTCAATGTATGTCCTATCCATTTCCATCGTCTTTTCCTAATTTCCTCTTCAGCTGGAAGCTGGTTGGTTCTCTCCCACAAAAGGCTGTTGCTGATGGTATCCGGCCAATGGATGTTGAGTATCATGCGTAGACAGCTATTAATAAATTCCTGTACCTTCTTGATGGTGGTTGTTGTAGTTCTCCAAGTTTCAGCTCCGTACAGTAGGACTGCCTTGACGTTCGTATTGAAGATTCTGACTTTGATATTGGTTAAAAGTTGTTTTGAGTTCCATATGTTCTTCAGTTGAAGGAATGCCGCTCTAGCTTTGCCAATCCTCGCCTTGACGTCTACATCTGAACCTCCTTGTTTATCGACGATGCTTCCCAGGTATGTGAAGGATTCCACGTCTTCCAGAGTTTCGCCATCAAGAGTGATTGGATTGCTGTTCTCCGTGTTGTGTTTGAGGACCTTTGTTTTCCCTTTGTGTATGTTGAGGCCTACTGATGCAGAGACTGCTGCTATGCTGGCTGTCTTTATCTGCATTTGTTCGTGTGTATGTGATAGGATGGCTAGGTCATCTGCAAAGTCCAAGTCGTCTAATTGGTTCTGAGCTGTCCATTGTATGCCGTGGTTTCCCTCAGATGTCGAGGTCTTCATAATCCAGTCGACCACCAGAATAAAGAGGAAGGGAGAGAGTAGACAGCCTTGTCTTACTCCGGTCTTTACTTGGAATGCGTCTGTCAGCTGTCCTCCATGCATTACTTTGCACTCTAGTCCGTCGTATGAGTTCTGGATAATGTTGACAATCTTCTCAGGAACTCCGTAGTGTCGAAGAAGTTTCCATAACGTCCTCCTATCTACACTGTCAAATGCCTTCTCATAATCAATGAAGTAGATGTACAGTGACGAGTTCCACTCAATTGATTGTTCGACGATGATCCGTAGTGTCGCAATTTGGTCTGTGCACGACCGGTCCTTACGGAATCCAGCTTGTTGATCTCGAAGTTGGGCGTCAACTGCGTCTTTCATCCTGTTCAGTAACACTCTGTTGAAGACTTTACCTGGTATTGATAGTAGTGTAATGCCTCTGTAGTTTTCACACTTGCTCAGATCTCCTTTCTTTGGAATCTTGATGAGGTGTCCTTCCTTCCAGTCCATCGGTATTTGTTCCTCCTCCCAAATCTTCTTGAATAGAAGATGAAGCATGTTTGTAGTTACTTCGATGTCTGACTTCAGTGCTTCAGCTGGTATATTGTCGGGTCCTGCTGCTTTCCCGCTCTTGACTTGTCTGATGGCCATTCTGATTTATTCCGTCGTTGGTGGATTGACATCTATAAGAAGATCTGTGTGTGCTTCTTCAATGTTCGGTGGATTCATTGGTGCCGGCCTATTCAGGAGTTCCTCGAAGTACTCTGCCCATCTGTTGCGCTGTTGCTGAATCTCAGTGATTGGTCTTCCTTCTTTGTCTTTGACTGGTCTCTCTGGTTTACTATATTTCCCTGCTAGTTCCTTTGTTGTATCAAAAAGCTGTTTCATATTTCCTTCTCTTGCAGCTTTTTCCGCCGTCGTTGCTAGTTCTTCCACGTATTTTTGCTTATCAGCTCTAATGCTGATAAGCAGCAGAGTTTAAATGGTTTGAGTTACTTTTTGTGGTTAGCGTTTTTTTAGCGAGTTAGGTTTCTACGGGATGGAGACGCTAACCCCATGCCCAACCCTCCTCCTTTACGCGGGCTTGGGACCGGCAGTAACTCTGGAAGAGCTACAGGCGGAGTTATAGTAGGTGAATTAAAGTCTCTTAAAATCAAACACCAACCAACTGAAGAACGCGAGTTGAGACCGCCTAGAAAAAATTCATTTACGTAACAATCCGGGATGAGGTAAACTGAACAAATAAGCAGTTCTCGTACTTCGAATTACAGACAGAAACTAACTAAATAGCGAGCTCGACTTTCATGGGATAATTGTAAAGGGAATAGTATTTCTAACTAACAAAGCTGCTATTCCTTTATGCTTCCGAGTACTGTTGAATTGTACTGAAGAGAAGTTTTCAAAGCTAAGTTTCCTATTATCTATTATATACTTCCATGGTGACGAACACATCTGATTTGGTAAAATAAATCTACACACCTGGCTTCGGTCACTTGTGATAGCTCTCGAAATCCGTGTAACAGATATAAAGGTCATTCAAGAAGTTTCATGCTGTGCCCAAAGTAGCGTCGACATTATTCTCCGTCGACGCTTCACCACTCGAAATTTACAATCCAAATGTTCTTTTCACCAGCACCTAATCTTAGCTTCAGCTCACTTTCAGCTTCTCGTTTTTTCATACGGTCATTAAGCGACAAGTGTGTAAGGACAATGACTCCTAATACCTTCAGTTTACGTCGATTTTGTGTCTTTATGTCCCGTTCATTGGGATGTTTAAATACTACCTTTAAAAGCCTGATCTGGTCCGTCTTGCTGCCTGGTCTATAAACAAGTTGATGTCAGAGATATCTTCAGGGGTTAGTTGTAGAAGTAGACAGATATTTTAGGCCTTCAATGACATTCCCAAAGCTCCGAAAGTTTTCTCGCCTTGACTCTGACAGATAACTGGCCTGTCAATGTGGTCACTCTTCGATTGCCAACCACGGTTAAGGAAACCGAGTTTTTCTTGTGATATTAGGTTATTTCTTACACTCAATTAGTGTCCACTCATCAGTAGTAACTGGAGTAGTGATTGTAGAAGAATTACTTACATTTTGAGATTCCAAAGAATATTCAATGACTTACCGATCAGGTCACAACTTTTAATGTTTTTCCTGTTGGGGAATGGACCCAGCCTAACGGTCGAAGCCGGATGAAGGCTACTTTCTTGAGTTCTTGACAGACCTCTTGGAGTCTGTCTTTCTTACGCTCACGTGGGTCAATCGACCTTGATCACACTTGAAACGGTGACCCTGCGATTTGTGCAACGATAGATCAACCACCATCAGACTCACTTTAGTTTGGTCCAGTAGAATTGGACCTGCTTACGTGACTTTTAGCAATGTCCACTACTGCAAGCTCTTTGCGTCCGAGCTGCACTGTTTGTATAACCACACACATTCGGGTTTATTAAACCTTTTAGATGCTAAAAGCTTTAGATTCGCAAATACTTCATGGTACGACTCATCGCACGTCTGGCGTTGCATAACACGATCCATAGGATATCTATAACCTTGGAGTTACAATTTTTTATATTGCCCGGTCGTTCATGACAGATTTCTAAATAACTTGGAAAAATTATAGCTAAAATAAGTCGAGAGGTAAGAGAAAATAAAGCGAAACTGAAGGTAGGACTTTTATAAACAAAACAAGCAACGCAAGAAGTTGATGTTGCTAAGCATGCGCAAGACGTTTGAGTTTGCGTGATCGTACTGAGAGTATGGTTGGTTTGTATTAGTGTTACATATTATTTGTATATGAGGCAAAATGAGTAAATCAAAATTGGTAAAATGATGTTTTATTGTGCTGCTTCTTTTCATTTCAACTTACTTTTCTCTAAACGTATAAAACAATTTAATGTGTTTAATTGCACCATTTCGTTGTTCTCCCAAATCTAAACAGGTTTCGTTTTTGTGGACTAGGATGGCTGAGCCTCCAACTAAGGTGAAGATATTAGAGACTCCTGAAGATATTCGTGAACGTCGTGAGCAAGTTTTGTCGCGCTATTCTGCATTTAAAGAGGCAACGCAGTATCGTCGTCATAAGTTAGAGGAAGCTAAGAGGTAATGTTTAATACAGCCGAATGTTACTTTCGAAGGTACCAGTATTTTAAGCGTGATGCTGATGAACTTGAGAGCTGGATTAATGAAAAGTTGCAAACTTATGCAAATGAGGATTTCAAGGAACTGAGTAACCTCCAGGTAAATTATTTAAAGACTGATCGTTTGGTTAGGCCAAAAAACAAAAGCATCAGGCTTTTGAGCTTGAAGTCACAGCTCATGCAGAGACACTATCGGCCTTAGATTCTTCAGGTGAAGAGATGATAGGGCAAGGACATTACGCTTCTGAGATTATTAAAGTAAGGTTTTGCTCTGCGTATCTACGTAACATTCATAGAACCGGCTCGATGAGTTACACGCTCTTTGGGAAAGGTTGATGGCCATGTTTAGAGAAAAATCGCGTCTCATTAACCTGACTCTTAAGTTCGTTCAGTTCTTACGTCAGGTCGACGAGATACTATTCTGGACACGTGAGAAGGAGACTTATGTAACTTCTGAAGATTTCGGTCAGGATTTAGAGCACGTTGAGGCCCTACAGAAGAAATTTGACGAGTTTATGAAGGTTTGTCATTGTTTGATGATTAATATTTTTTAGGACCTTGAGTACCAGGAAAGTCGTGCGGAAGACATTTACCACAAAGCAGATGAACTTTTGAAAGAGGAATTTCCTGAAGACACCTTGGTAATAGAAAAGTCACGTGAGGTTCGTGAAGCACTAGAACGTCTAAGAAATCTAGCTAAGATGCGCCAAAACAAACTCCTTGAAGCCTATGAAATACAACGTTTCTTTCGGGATACAGATAAAGCCATATCGTGGGTAAATGAAAAGTCTATCCCTCTATCTATTGAAGACTGTGGTCGTGACTTGGCTTCAGTACAAGCACTGCAAAGGAAACATGACGCTTTGGAGAGGGATCTAGCTGCTTTGGATGAAAAGATTGGTCAACTAGGAGATGATGCTTCGGCTCTTGCACAGAAGCATCCAGACTCTAAAGAAACAATACAGGGTAAATATGAGGCTTTAATTGCTGCTTGGGAAAAACTTAAGAATCAGTTTGTGGGTAGAAAAAGTAAACTGGAAGAGTCTTTCAAGATGCAGCGTTTTCTCGCCGATTGGAAAGACCTTAGTATTTGGATGACGGACATGAAAGGGTTGATCTCTGCTGATGATCTAGCAAAGGATGTGGCTGGTGCTGAGGCTCAAGTAGAACGCCATAAGGAATATACTGCGGAAATTAACTCGCGAAACGATAGTTTCGACACATGCATGTTAGAGGGTCAAGCGCTGATCAGTGTTGGTCATCCATTTAGCGGGGAAATCGCTGCAAAGCTTTCCAATTTGGAAAGAGAAAAAGCTGCCCTTCTGGAATTATGTGAAAAGAGACGCGAGCAACTAGAACAGTGTATGGGTCTTCAGTATTTCTATCGTGATGCAGAACAGTCAGAGTCTTGGATCGGAAAGCAAGAAGCACTTTTGGAAATCAAGGATGTTGGTGATTCCCTCGATTCAGTTGAGGCACTTATTAGAAAGCACGAAGATTTTGAGAAATCGTTGTTAGCTCAAGAAGAAAAGATGCATCATTTTGATGAATTAGCAAAGAAACTTATAGAAACGGATCACTACGCTGCTGCACAGGTCTCGGATTTGCAACATTCTTTGGAAGACCGAAGAAGAGCCTTGAAGGAAAAAGCTAAGAGGCGCCGTCAGCGTCTTGAAGATTCTCACCGTTATCAAATGTTCGATCGTGACGCCGATGAAATGCAATCTTGGATATCGGAAAAACTGAAAAGTGCACTTGATGAAAGCTATAAAGACTCAACTAATTTACAGACAAAAGTTCAAAAACATCAAAACTTCGAAGCTGAGATACAAGCTAACCAGTCTCGTGTTGAGGATATTAAAAAGACAGGTCAAGATTTGTTAAACGCAAATCACTGCAATTCAGCTGAAATAAAACTAAAAATCGACCAGTTAGATGAGACTTGGTCTTATCTTATAAATGCTATGGCAAACAAAAAGAAAAATTTAGACCAAGCCAGTCGACAACAACAATTCGTCCGCAATGTTGAGGATGTCGAGTTGTGGTTAGATGATGTTGAAGCCCAAATTGCATCAGAAGATGTTGGTCGAGACCTTAACGGAGTAATGAATGCACAGAAGAGACTCAACTTACTAGAATCTGATGTCGCTGCCCATCGTGAGCGCATAGAAGCATTTAAAGTCCAAGCCGACACGTTTGCTTCCGAGGGTCATTTTGATGCTCCCATAATTCAGGAGAAGCAGCGGCAACTGTCCCAACGTTATTACGATTTGCAGAAACCATTAAATCAACGCCGTGAAAAACTGTCAGATGCTTACAAGCTGCATCAGTTCTTTAGGGATGTTGAAGACGAGGAAGATTGGATTCGAGAGAAAGAGCCAGTCGCGGGCTCTACTAATGTAGGTAAGCAGAAAAATGATGTATTTATTCGGCACCCGTTCCCCGTACACATGTGTGCGGTTTTTATGTGCCGTAAAGCAATTAGCTTCTTTTCACAGCAGTATGCATTAGCAGTATGCTGCCTTTTGCAGATGCTTATATGTTTTTACCTCTGATATCTGATTTCATTTCTTAACAATGTATATATGGACTGTTGTCACTAAGACGTTTTGATAAATCAGCCTAAGACCCGGGACAAATATGTATTGGCTAAGGTTTACATATGTACTAATTTGCTTCAACTGTGTAAAAATTTGGTCGGTACACAATCGTGCATGGTTCTACATTGTTAATGGTTGGCTTTGGTTGTTGTATACTCAACCATAAAAACAGGATTCCACAAGTAATATAAAGTCAAAATGCACTAAACAGATGGCATTTAAAGAATTAGGCGAACCCATATCATGTCGTCAGTACATACCAAATATCAGGTCATAGAATACTGTACTTATCGGGTAAAGTTCGTTTTTCAGCCCTGATTGTTTGGAATGCTTTCTGCTTAAATTACTTTTAGCCCCATCCACGTATCCGTTGGTTGTAAATTAAAGTATGTTTGTGGTAATGCATCTATACTTGCGTTGATAATCTAGTGGCAGTTCGTTGTACCGTCAGTCAGTCGTAGTTAATGTGCGTTAATCCGAACTTTAAATCTCATCACAACGAAAGGAACTCAACAAGATAAACAGTAATGTGGTCGAAGAATTTTAGTAGTGCCGATGGTGAGAATGACTAAATATTATGAATATAGTTAGTCACAACATGGAACCTGTACGTAATTATATGTTCAAGTTACCATACCCCATTAGCACAGAGATGAAGTTTTCGGATCGAATCCGAGAACAGTAGGGGTCATAACAGTGTCCGTCGTAATTGAAAGACTAGGCATCGAAGATACGACTCGTGAAGGAAATATTAATTAGCTAGACAGAAAAAGTAATGAGAAATCTAGGAACTCAGGATTTGTAGGAGACAAAGAATGGGTGCAGCTGCACCATCACAAATGGTTCAGATCCATGTCATTTGATGTCTAACCGTTGGTTACGGTAATCACACGAATTCTAATCAAGTAGTCTGCAATTATTAACATGGCTGAGTCTAATTGTCAGTGACTTCATCGACTGATGCCATGTTTTGGCGTGGCCACCCCTAGCTTCCAGCATATCTTTGCACCAAAAAACATCGCCCGTTAAGGTAGACTGTGGTTTGAAAAGACGAAGTAGAAAGGCATGTATGGTAAAATAATGGAGGTCGGGACCTAGAAAATGATAAACAAGGAATACTGTGCTCTTCTCTGAACTATGTCATTCCAGTGTTGCGAGCCAGTACTCGCGGTTATCACAGAATTCCAACCACTTATTCTACACCTATCGACGTGGATCAGAGAAACAGTCAGTTATTTCATGGATTAATTACACATCTTGATTTGTTCGCCCGTAGCTCGTATTCAACTTGCTCCTACTCCGACTGTAGTCTCTACAACTTCATAACCCAGGGTACCACCAATTAACGTATATCTTCACGTTCATAGATTGTTGGATATAAACAAACATAACCCTTTTAAAAGGAGGTTCTAAATCACGGTTTGTGACTTTCGCGTGGCTTGTTACATAACTTACGGAGTTCGTCGTTATTTGTGCTTGTTGTGACAGTTCTACTCTAATCCAGGAATCGTGTACAAATCTATATACTCGGCTTGGAAAAGGTCAAACACTCATGCTCAGTTTCCAAGAATGAAATAGACACTAACCCAAAAGCCGGGAGTCGAATTCTGAACTCACAACTATTCCAATTATATAGTATATATACTCGGAAAACTTTGGTTTTTAAACCTAGTCGCTTAAATAACTAACTTTCTTTAGTTGGTCGGAGATCGCTAATACACCATTTGTCTTGTTTTACCACTTTCAGCTGTTTCACATTTGCTGAATTTTGTGTTTACAGTTGGTTCTCATTCCCCTATTTCATTTGTTCGGTGCCATATTATCTTTGTTTTTTTTACCATTGGTATTATCGTTTTAGCTCTATTGCTCTACATTGTATTGTGATATCTTAAGCCGGTATACATTCAGTATCATGTTCTATTTTGTGTATATAGATTATTTTGAGTAACGGATAAGAAACAACAAAAAGTTAGAATATATCTTGTGTTTTTGATAGGTTTTTGACGAGTTAAATAAGTTATATCTATTTCAAATACAATATTTCGGATTTAATTATGCAGTCAGGTGGCCTCTACTTGTTCATTGTTTCCGGATGTATTTATATATGCCTCCTAACTAATCAGTTTAAATATATTTCAGGTCGTGATTTGATTGGCGTGCAAAATTTGATCAAAAAACATCAAGCAATATATGCGGAGATAAATGGTCACTCACCACGCATTGAGGAGGTTGTTCAAGAAGGTCAGGCCATGATACGCGTCAACCATTATGGGGCTAACGACATTGAAAGACGTATAACTGATTTAACTACCGATTGGTCTCAACTTTGTGAAAAGGCAGACCGTCGACGACAGCTGCTGGAAGATTCATTGCAAGCCCAACAGTACTTTGCTGATGCAAGTGAAGCAGAAAGTTGGATGCGAGAAAAAGAACCATTGGTCGGTTCGTCCGAGTTTGGTCGAGATGAAGACTCTACGGAAGCACTCTTGAAGAAACATAACGCTCTCCTTGCCGATATTGAGGCGTATGGTTCGACTATTGAAGCTCTCGGCATTCAAGCTAGTAGTTGCCGGATGCAGGAAGCCCCAGTAAGTGATCTACTCGGCAAAGATGTAGTTATTGCTTTATATGACTACCAAGAAAAGTCTCCTAGGGAAGTTTCAATGCGGAAAGGAGAAATCTTAACCTTGTTAGCCAGTAACCACAAAGACTGGTGGAAAGTAGAAGTGAATGATCGCCAAGGATTTGTTCCTGCGGCGTATGTCAAAAAAGTTGAGGCTCCTGTTTCTGACACTCAAGCTGGCTTATCAGCCAAGCCACTTACTGTAGCGTCGCAGCAGCAGCGTTTGGAGGAGCAATATAATTATCTTCTTCAGCTGGGTCGTGACCGTCGAGAGAGATTACAGGATTCCGTTGAAGCTTACCAACTAGTTAGAGAGGCTAACGATTTACATCAATGGGTAGTTGAGAAAGAACTAGTTGCTGTCACAGAGACCATCGTTCCTGGAAGACTAGAGGAAGTCGAGTCAGAGAAAAAGAAGGTAGATGAGTTTGTTATGGAACAAAAGGAAAGAGAAGCTAGAGTAACAGAATTGTGTGCCAAGGCAGATAAACTCAAGCGAGGTGGTCAGACTGAAGCTGTTGAGAAGATAGAAGGTATTATCATGCAACTCCAAAAGAAGTATGAACAGTTAGAAGAAGTCACTGCCAAAAAAGCTAAAGAATTAGAAGATATTGATGCCGTTCAGCGCTATCACAGAGAATGTGATGAAGCGAAAGAATGGATTGAAGAGAAGGAGAATAGATTACTAACAGATGATGTAGGTAATGACTTCACATCTGTTCAGCGTCTTATACGTAAACATGATGCATTAGAAAGAGACCTGGTAGCTTTGGGAGAAAGGGTTAAACAATTAGATTCAAAAGCTGCTGACTTGGTACAGATCCATCCTCAGGATGCAGAAGCTATATGTACACATCAAGAAGAAATCAACCATTTGTGGGATGGTCTAGCTGCAACTGCTGAAAAACGAAAAGCCAAACTTTTAGATTCCTTAGATCTCCAAAAGTTTCTCGCTGATGCAAGGTAATAATTACTTATTGTTGTTTATGTACATATCATGCTATATTCTGGATAAATATGGCATAAGATTATCTAGTTTCACTCGGCAATTATAGTCTAGTTGTTCAGCTGTTGGTAGAAAGTTTACTCTACCTATCGTTTCACACAAGAGGTTCTAAACCATATTTTCTATGGGCTAATAACACTTCTAGAGTAAATGTAGTAACTCTAATTTACGAATGGATAATTAAAAGTCAAACAATTTAACTATTAATTTATCGCTCATGTAAGTAGTACAACATGCAACCCCTAGACTAGTATATTTATTCAAGTTGTTAATCTAAAATGGTATAGTAAGTAAACTAATAGTAGATATAGTTAAACACTTCTAAAAAAGCCCAGAGAAATAGGAGGTTGACTAAGCGTACAATAATGAGCTTTTAAAAAGTACGGATGTACTTTTACCAACAAGTAGCTTTCAACCCATTTGAAATTTCTAGTCGTTACCCTAGTCTTCGTAATTTTGCTTATGAGGTGCGTTTCGAAATAGTGCTTTTTTTCCAGGTATTAAGCTTCTGTTTTCCCTTTCAGCTACATAATCCTACTGATTATTATCTCTGAGCTTAATTTAAAACACGCTATCATTTGAGTGAATTAGACTAAAACTTGACATTCAGATTTCTTAACAAATAGTTATTCCGTTTGTTTATATATAACCTTTTGTTTTCAGGGATCTCCAGTCTTGGATTAGTACAATGAATGGTTTGGTATCGTCAAAGCAAGTGGGCACATATGTTACAAGTGCAGAATCGTTGTTAGATAGTCACCGTGTAAGTCATTTCATTTACATTATTTATTTTCACAGGAATACCGCACGGAAATCGATACTCGTGCTCCAGCTTTTCAAAACTTCGAATCATTCGGTAAGGAGTTACTGGATAATGGACATTATGCTTCGGAGGTCGTACAGCAAAAACTTCAAGAAATCACAGAAGCAAGAGAAGCTCTTAATGTGTAAGTTAATACTTTTATGAGGAAAATAAGTGCTTTTTGTGTACAGTTTACACTTTCTTCCTAAATAATGAGTCCCCAATTTCAATCGCACTTTTGCAGAACATAATCTGTTTCTTTGGACCAAGTAATAAATCATCATGCCATCTTATTTTGGTTAAAATATGAATATAAATTTGTATGTTTATCAACGTTTACCAGGCTTTGGTGCTTACTATTTACACTGATCAACTATTCAGTATTAACCAAAATTATTTTATTTATTTATTTGGACACAAATATTCGTACAAAGCGGCACTAAATACATATACTCCACATAAATCACTTGGTTTGTGTGAAGGCTGGAATACTGGCCGGGTGCCCGAACCGAGGCAGGTGGCTTTCTCAGGGCCACACCCGAGCCTTTGACTTAAAGGTCTGATCCACAATGCAGTAGAGAAACGTCAGGAGATACAGTCCCGTGGTTTATTATTATTTTATTTGAACACATAAATATTGGTACAAGAGGGCAACAAATATATATGCGCCACACAAAATAGGAATTTAAAGAGAAGGAAAAAAAAGAAAAGAGGGTAAGGAGCCTAAAAAACAGAACAATAACGAACAGATTAGTGTAAGGTAGTGTAATAGTAATTATAATGAGGGAAACGAAAAGGTACAATCAGAAGAAATCTTTCAGTTAAGGAAGAAGCAACCACTTTTTACGGAGAAAGTAAAAGAAGGTTACAGCAGGATCGCCACTGGCTTCTATTCTGAGCCATATCTGATAACGTCTCTAGCAGGTGTTGCACCATCTCTAGGTTTCACAAGCATAGGACAGAACTTCTCTCACCGACGCGTTGTAGATCCGACCTTTTACAGCCAGACTAAGATCACAAAGGCACCAAAGATGGCCCAGATTGGCATAAGCCGCTCTGGCTTTCACTATGCGTGCATTGATCTCATCACTCACGCCACCACCAGCACTTATGCAGCTACCTAGATACACGAACTTCTCGACTACTTCTATCTGCTCACCATCCAGAGTGAGTGCGGGATTAAAATCCTGCCAGTCTTGTAGGAGTACTTTGCACTTCGTAGGTGCAAAGCACATACCATACCTACGGACATTGATTGCCAACTGATTAAGTGCGGATTGCATGGTTTGGGCCTTCTCGCACAGTATGACAATATCATCCGCATACTCAAGGTCGAGAAGTCTTTCTCCAGGCAACAGGTCTACACCACTATTACTTACATCTATCAGAGCCGTTTCCAGAATGTCATCGATGGCAAAGTTGGAGAGGAATGGTGAGATTGAGCAAACTTGCCTAACCCCACTGCTCGAATGGAACAATGGAGAGAGGTGATTGTATGCCCTCACTCTGCCTGAGGTGTTTGTATATAGGGCTTTTAGGATGTTAATAAACTTCTCAGGCACACCCTTCTTCAAAAGACAATCCCAGAGAACAGTTCTGTCCAACGAATCGAAGGCAGCCCTGATATCAAGAAACACTACGATTATTGGCCTTTGATAAGTATGGCGGTGTTCTAACACTTGGCGGAGGGTGAAGATATGATCAATACATCCTCGACCAGAATGAAACCCAGCCTGCTACTCGCGAGTCAATCCTTCTCGGGTTCTGAACAATCTACGAAGTATAACGGAAGCCAATTGCTTGGACGCAATCGGAAGTAGACTTATCCCCCGATAGTTGTTACAGGAACAACGTGAACCATTTTTAAAGATAAGGACAACTATCGACTCATTCCATGACGTTGGTACACACTCTAGTTCCCAGACCTTTGTAAACAACGTCGTCAGTCCCTTAGTCAGAAAGTCACCAACATCTTTAAAAAGAGTCGGAGGTAAGTCGTCTGGGCCCGGTGATTTGTAACGTTTCAAGAGTTGGAGTTCCTTGCGGACTTCCGCCTCATTTGGTGGATCAGTCGTCACCGGCCATAGAGAGCAGGACAGTCTGACCGATGTTGCCGGAGCAGCAGGCCAGTTGAACTGCCCTTCAAAGAATTCTGCCCATCGTCCAAGACGTCGATGGATGTTAGTGATTGGCGTTCCGTCATCCTCGCAGATTGTTTCGCTCACACCAGACTTTCTGCCGGTGGCTCGGATGAGTTGGAAGAGCTTCCGGTAATTACCAGATGCAGCTGCTGCTTCCAGCTCATTAGCACGCTCCGACCACCAGGCTTCTCGGTCCTTACGCAAGCTTTGCTCAATTTCAGTACGTAGCATTCTTCGTTTGTGGTCAAACTCACGGTCACCCGGAGTAGACCGACAGGCTTCAATCAGTTGTAAGGAGCCTGAAGAAACCCAGTGATTGCAAGCGGGACGTTTCGCGAACCCACAAGTGACTTTACTCGCCATTTTCATGGCGTCATGCAATCGCAACCAATGCTCATCTATACTTTTCGGTGGAATGCTAGCTAGCCTAGAAGCTAGCTCGGTTCGGTACTTACTAGCAACAGAAGTTGCAGCCAGCTTGCTAACATCAATCCTTTGGTGGCGGTCACTTCTTTGTCCACTGAAAAGTAAGGTAAGATTGGCGCAGACCAGAGCATGGTCAGATTCCAGATAGGTACTCCAAAAGGAGCGGCAGTCTTGTACACAACCACGCCAGCGGTAGCTGATCGCGATGTGATCAATCTGTATCCAGGCTTGAGATGTAGAAGGGGGACGCGAGGTAGCACATCGGCGATGACTGTGCCGAAAGTTAGTGCTAGCCAGAAACAGGTTGTGGTCTGTGCATAGTTGCAGTAGACGGTCCCCGTTATCTGTCCTGCGACCAATAAGTCCCCATCGGCCACCTAAACGACTCTCTTCTGTGCCTAGACGCCCGACCTGAGCATTCAAGTCTCCGGCTAGTACTACAATATCTGTTGAGCGCACTTTCTGGAGAAGAGCAGATAACTGGTGGTAGAATTCATCCTTGATTGCATCCGGGCTGCAATCTGTTGTGGCATAGACAGTCCCGTGGTAGCTGGTGACCAACATTAGGTTCATACGCCATTTGTCCCTTCAGTATTCTGGAGCGCATGTGCACCATTGGTTTGGAATTAGGGTTTTCCAACTCGCCTAGGTAGACGGTACGTGCCGACTAACCCGGTTAAAGAGCCGAACATTCGCTTTGTGTCCTCTCAATTTCGTAAACACCCCCGCCACTAGACTGCAGTAAGTAGGACTTCCCTGGCAGTGGTTGTATGCATGCCTCCAAATGCCCTGGTATGGCGGAGAGCGGGGAGGGCTCGCCCTCCCTCTCAAAATACTCTCACACGGCCACGCGTATACAGCCTCTGCCAGGGAAGTCCTACTCACTGCCTTCTCGTGGAGGGGGTGTTGTTTACGAAAATGAGAGGACGAAAAGCGAACGTCCGGCGCTTTAACTGGATCCCAAATCAATGGTGCACATGGGCTCCAGTATCCTGCGGGAACAAATGGCGTATGAACCAATTGTTGGTCACCGGCTTCCATGGGACCTCATCTCCTCACGATGCTCCACTGCCTTGTGGACTAGACCTTTAGGTCAAAGGCTCGGGGTGTGGCCCCCTAAGAAAACCACCTGCTTCGGTTTGGGCACCCGGGCAGTATCTCAGCCCACGCACTAAAATCATGATGAACTTATGGTTGTATGCATGTGACCATGTGAGATCACAACACTAGTAGTCCATTCTAACAATTCGTATTATTTCAGACTTAATTTATTATTTATTTATTTTAACACATAAATATTGGTACAAGGAGGCACCAAATACATATGCGCCACACATCTCATTTGATATGTGTGAGGGCTGTGATACTGCCCGGGAGCCCAGACCGAAGCAGGTGGTTTTCTTAGGGGGCCACACCCCGAGCCTTCGACCTGAAGATCTGATCCACAAGGCAGTGGAGCATCGTAAGGAGATGCAGTCCCATGGTAGCCGGTGACCAACAATTGGTTCATACGCCATTTGCTCCTTCAGGATACTGGAGCCCATGTGCACCATTGATTTGGGATCCGGTTAAAGCGCCGGACATTCGCTTTTCGTCCTCTCATTTTCGTAAACAACACCCCTTCCACGAGAAGGCAGTGAGTAGGACCTCTCTGGCAGAGGCTATATACGCGTGACCATGTGAGAGCATTTCGAGAGGGAGAGTGGACTCTCCCCACTCTCGGCCGTACCAGGGCATGATTATATGCCTCAGCTAAAAGACCGAAACACCACAAATAAAACATCTCAGTTTATACAAATGTAGGTTATGTGTGTTATAATATGTATGTAACACGTATACAATCAATCAGCTTGTTATAATTCTCTCTTATTACAACCCAGCTCTTCCTATTCTCGGACACAGATTCACTCGACAGGCCCCCAACCCAGGACACTGTTGAACAGAAAAGAGATTAAATTTCAACTAACATGTTTGGATGAAGTAAGAAGCACAATAAGAAAAACGTTAATATATTTATAGTTTTTACATGAGAAGATTTCTAGAGTATTCTCCAAGTATCGATTCGCGCTGATTAGACAAGAATTAGACGATCAGCGTGCACCAAAGCAATCGTGCATTGAGCATGCTTTAATCAAATCTATGTCCCGCTAACAATAACGAAAGAAACCCATCGTATCTATTTATTTTGTTTAATCAATTGTGAGAGGATTTCGAGAGGGCGAGCTAACTCTCCTCACCCTTGGTAGTACTAGGGCATTTGGAGGCAAGTGTCCCACAAGCAAAATGGGAATGTTCCCAACTAGGATACTAATCAGCTACAATGAAATTACCTTTTAAAATGAGTCCGAATAAAATGTTTACCACAAGTCTCTTTTGGTGAGAAGTCATTTTTCTTGTAATCTATAATACTGACTTCAGATTCGCGCTCATCATTGAAGTTTTCAATTTCGACTTACTAAAGTTCATACATAAAAGTTTTATTCACAAATATGAATAAACTCAAAAAGCGAATTTTTTGATATTATGAAACCCGTTCCCTGTATATGATAAACCCAATCCAGTCAATGATTGATCAGTGTTACAACGCTCACTGCGGTTGTCTGTTTACAGGTCTATCATTTCCATCTAAAGATCACAAGTAGCTCCCTGAATATCAGAAAAAAATCTAGTAGTCAGCACGTTAAAATGTGTTCCTAACGCTCTAAAATCTACAATACATCTCGCGGTTAATAATGAGAAGAGAAAATAATTACTTTCCTAATGTCACTCAGACTGATAATTGAATATAAATCTCTAATTCTCTGAAATAATTCCTCCTTACACATTTCTCGTAAAATCCAATGGCATACCGTAATTGCCCGACCGACTTAAAATACGCAGATGACACAGTCCTGTTTGGTGAAGTTGCTGATAAAATGCAGTCTTTTGGTAGCACTGAGCAACAATGCTAGAATGTTTAAAATGCACTTCTCTCCCTCTAAATGCAAGTTGTTGCTTCAGGACTGGCCTGCGTCAACACCTGAATTAACGATAGGGAATGAAGCAGTCGAACGCGTTGACAACTTCACTTATCCTGGAAGTTTGATCAGTACGGATTCGAAAAGCTCGTTCGGCTTTTGCCAACTTACGTCACCTATAACGAAGGCAAGATATCCGTCTATCAACAAAAGGACGAGTGTACTGCGTGACAGTTCGTTCTGTTTTGCTTTACGGCTGCGAAACGTGGCCACTAAGAGTAGATATTCGTAAGCTTCCAGTATTTGGTCACAGATGCCTTAGAAATATTGCTCGCATCTGCTGGGATCACCGGGTAACTAATAGTGAGGTTAGACGCAGGGTATTAGGGAATGATAGTAAATCAGTTGATGAGGTTGTGAATCTTCGCCGACTGAGATGGTTGTGCCACGTGTTACGTATGCCTGAACACCGATTACCACAGCGCGTAATGCTAAGGTTGGAACAAAGTTGGGGACGGCCAAACCAAAACGTGGAATCAGTCCTTGAAGTCACTAACTTCTAGTCTGAGCCATGTTGGTAGATGCAGACTGTCTGGTTGGGGTCCGCGTGACTATCGTAACCAATGGTTGAAGACTCTGCGTGACATGGCTCAGAATCGATCACAATGGCGTATGTGTATACACTCTTTGTCTTCCCTTAAACAGTGAGATTAAAATTATACATACACCTTCATTCCTATGAGCTAATTCTTTCTCCCTGTATCATATCCTTACATGAAGTCTTTCTTTTGTATATTACCACCACTACTCCTATGAATCCAGTGTTCATCTTGCTGTGCTGATGAGGTATGGCAACCTGGACCGATGCACATATGTGCTTCATCCTACGTTGTTGCTGACTGATTGACTTATACCGTAGTTGGCTTACTAATAAAAAGGATACTGTATTACAACGTGTTCTATGAAAAGTAATAGTCAGTTTGTTTTTGCAATGGCTTCTCGTTTTGCAAGTATAAGCAATGAGCGATTGAGACATAACAATTGGCGACACAGTCATACGAATTGACAAACAGTCATAACAGTTTTGAGAGTATAAGGTATGCCAAAGTTTGACTTGTTTTGTTAAGTGAAACATTTATTTAATCTTATTTGCTTTATATCTTGTGATTTTCGGGATAAAATCTAGTTTACAAATGACAATATAATTCGGCTAAGTGGTTCAAATATTTGTAGGTTCCTCACCCATATGATTTCCAGTTTTATGGTAATAAACTAGAGACTTAATGAACGCTATCAGACTTGTGAAACAATTTGTTATCATTATGATACACTAGCCTTAAAATTGTTCCAAATAGTATATTCTAATGCATCTTGTCACGTATCGTAGTAATATGTGGCAATGAGATATAAAAAAAACGTGTCAAGTCCAAGGTTGTAGATCGTCAAGTATTTTCAAATTAATGTTGATTATAGTAATTACAGTATAATGAGTATGAAGGCACTATTAAACAGTGGGATTATTAAATCAAAAGATGGTGGGAATAATGAGGTTAACTTACATTTTAAATAAAAATAGGTGCGATCTAACGGCCATTTCCGCCTCTTAAAATCGTGTAAATTATTCGTATTAAGTTCCAACAGATTATTTGTTTCTGCATTCTAGAGCCTGGCTAAATCGGCACAAACTACTAGAACAAAATCTAGAAGAACAGCTATTTTTGCGTGATTGTGAACAAGCTGAGGATTGGATGGCTATTCGCGAAGCATCTTTAGCTGGTGATGATGTTGATGGGAATAAAGTTGATGCATTAATAAAGAAACATGAAGATTTTAACCGTGCAATCACCCTACAAGAGGTTAAGATACAGTCTTTGATGGCGAATGCTGATAAACTTCTGGAAGCTGATCATTATGACGCAGATGCAATTGAAGCTAAGCGTGGTGAGGTTTTAAATCGTTGGACTCACTTAAAAAATGCTATGATTGATAATCGTAGCAGGCTAGGAGACGTTCAAACGCTTCAGGCTTTCATTCGAGATGCTGATGAGATGGAGCTATGGATAAACGAAAAGATGCAATTTACAATGGACGAACCTTATAAAGATCCTACCACAAATATTCAGGCTAAACATCAGAAACATCAGGCTTTTGAAGCAGAGCTCGCTGCCAACGCAGAACGTCTCCAAGGAATTTTGGCAGCTGGACAACGTTTAAAGCAGAAGAGTGAGTCAGCCTATTTTTCGTCAAGAATTATCTTTTGCGATAATTTTATTTTCAAAGTTTATATGCCCTTTATTTTGTTGTAGATCAATGTATGGGGCAGGAAAGTGCCGTTGAAGAACGTATCGCAAAACTCGCTAACCAGTGGGATAATCTTGTCAATCGATCTCACGAAAAATCCGAAAAGTTACAAGAGGCCAATCGTCAAGCTGCATATAATGCTGGTATTAAAGACATTGAATTTTGGTTAGGTGAAATGGAAACGTCACTCGTTAGTCCCGATCATGGAAGAGATTCAGCGTCTGTTGACAGTCTTCTGTCAAAACACCAGGTAGGTATATTTGTGTGGTATCTTACATGCGTACATGTTGTCAACATCTAAGTCCCTATAGCAGGATGTTAATTCGCTTATTTGCATCACAACTTGCTGCATGTATGGTGTAATCAGAAATAAAATTTCTAAAAGCATGGTTTACAAATAATCCTTGTTAGTTAGTTTTGTTTTCAACTTCAAATACTAAGTCCCGTAGACCCCACCATTTATTTGTCCGTAGCTTCTACCTCCAGGTTATCATTGGAGAGGTTCAACTGAAGGTTCCGCCCCCAAATACCCTGGTATGGCGGAGAGCGGGGAGGGCTCGCCCTCCCTCTCAAAATACTCTCACACGGCCACGCGTATACAGCCTCTGCCAGGGAAGTCCTACTCACTGCCTTCTCGTGGAGGGGGTGTTGTTTACGAAAATGAGAGAACGAAAAGCGAATGTCCGGCGCTTTAACTGGATCCCAAATCAATGGTGCACATGGGCTCCAGTATCCTGCGGGAACAAATGGCGTATGAACCAATTGTTGGTCACCGGCTTCCATGGGACCTCATCTCCTCACGATGCTCCACTGCCTTGTGGACTAGACCTTTAGGTCAAAGGCTCGGGGTGTGGCCCCCTAAGAAAACCACCTGCTTCGGTTTGGGCACCCGGGCAGTATCTCAGCCCACGCACTAAAACCATGATGATGAACTATTTGCTTATGGAAAATATTCCTTTCTATCTGATTAACATTGAAATAACTCGTACTATTATTATTATTATTATTATTATTATTATTATTATTATTATTATTATTATTATTATTATTATTATTATTATTATTATTACTCTACCACGTCATTTATTCACCCTCTCTCATTCCTACTTTATGTATCCGTTTCGACCTAGACAGCAGCTCACCTATGGTGAAAATTCAGCTTTATCTAATCGTTCTCGAGTCACTGCCTGGTTGAAAATTGTATGTTACCACCGAATATGAGTACTGAAGCAGTTTTTCTGAAACCACGTACACCATTCAAACTGGCTGCCTTCAACGTTCTCACACTTATGCAGGTCGGACAACAGATAGGGCTGGCTATGTCTTTGGAAAGTCTTAATATTGATGTGTGTTGTCTATCCGAGACCCTTATTCAAGACTCTGGTGAAGTACTACAAGTTCGCTCTCCATCTGTCGCTTCAAAAAGCTTGTTTTATGTGCGTTTATCCGGGGACCCTGTGGCATCTTCGTCTGGTCTTGCTGGCGTTGGTGTCGCACTAAGCGCAAGAGCTGAGGCAGCACTAGTCGACTGGATCCCCATTAACAGTCGGTTATGTGCTGTTAGATTAGAAAGTTCCATCAAAGTGAGAAGAAATCGGCGTGAGAAACGATGTCTTTTCGTCATCTCCGCCTATGCCCCGACAGATTGCAGCCCGGATGCAATCAAGGATGAATTCTACCACCAGTTATCTGCTCTTCTCCAGAAAGTGCGCTCAACAGATATTGTAGTACTAGCCGGAGACTTGAATGCTCAGGTCGGGCGTCTAGGCACAGAAGAGAGTCGTTTAGGTGGCCGATGGGGACTTATTGGTCGCAGGACAGATAACGGGGACCGTCTACTGCAACTATGCACAGACCACAACCTGTTTCTGGCTAGCACTAACTTTCGGCACAGTCATCGCCGATGTGCTACCTCGCGTCCCCCTTCTACATCTCAAGCCTGGATACAGATTGATCACATCGCGATCAGCTACCGCTGGCGTGGTTGTGTACAAGACTGCCGCTCCTTTTGGAGTACCTATCTGGAATCTGACCATGCTCTGGTCTGCGCCAATCTTACCTTACTTTTCAGTGGACAAAGAAGTGACCGCCACCAAAGGATTGATGTTAGCAAGCTGGCTGCAACTTCTGTTGCTAGTAAGTACCGAACCGAGCTAGCTTCTAGGCTAGCTAGCATTCCACCGAAAAGTATAGATGAGCATTGGTTGCGATTGCATGACGCCATGAAAATGGCGAGTAAAGTCACTTGTGGGTTCGCGAAACGTCCCGCTTGCAATCACTGGGTTTCTTCAGGCTCCTTACAACTGATTGAAGCCTGTCGGTCTACTCCGGGTGACCGTGAGTTTGACCACAAACGAAGAATGCTACGTACTGAAATTGAGCAAAGCTTGCGTAAGGACCGAGAAGCCTGGTGGTCGGAGCGTGCTAATGAGCTGGAAGCAGCAGCTGCATCTGGTAATTACCGGAAGCTCTTCCAACTCATCCGAGCCACCGGCAGAAAGTCTGGTGTGAGCGAAACAATCTGCGAGGATGACGGAACGCCAATCACTAACATCCATCGACGTCTTGGACGATGGGCAGAATTCTTTGAAGGGCAGTTCAACTGGCCTGCTGCTCCGGCAACATCGGTCAGACTGTCCTGCTCTCTATGGCCGGTGACGACTGATCCACCAAATGAGGCGGAAGTCCGCAAGGAACTCCAACTCTTGAAACGTTACAAATCACCGGGCCCAGACGACTTACCTCCGACTCTTTTTAAAGATGTTGGTGACTTTCTGACTAAGGGACTGACGACGTTGTTTACAAAGGTCTGGGAACTAGAGTGTGTACCAACGTCATGGAATGAGTCGATAGTTGTCCTTATCTTTAAAAATGGTTCACGTTGTTCCTGTAACAACTATCGGGGGATAAGTCTACTTCCGATTGCGTCCAAGCAATTGGCTTCCGTTATACTTCGTAGATTGTTCAGAACCCGAGAAGGATTGACTCGCGAGTAGCAGGCTGGGTTTCATTCTGGTCGAGGATGTATTGATCATATCTTCACCCTCCGCCAAGTGTTAGAACACCGCCATACTTATCAAAGGCCAATAATCGTAGTGTTTCTTGATATCAGGGCTGCCTTCGATTCGTTGGACAGAACTGTTCTCTGGGATTGTCTTTTGAAGAAGGGTGTGCCTGAGAAGTTTATTAACATCCTAAAAGCCCTATATACAAACACCTCAGGCAGAGTGAGGGCATACAATCACCTCTCTCCATTGTTCCATTCGAGCAGTGGGGTTAGGCAAGTTTGCTCAATCTCACCATTCCTCTCCAACTTTGCCATCGATGACATTCTGGAAACGGCTCTGATAGATGTAAGTAATAGTGGTGTAGACCTGTTGCCTGGAGAAAGACTTCTCGACCTTGAGTATGCGGATGATATTGTCATACTGTGCGAGAAGGCCCAAACCATGCAATCCGCACTTAATCAGTTGGCAATCAATGTCCGTAGGTATGGTATGTGCTTTGCACCTACGAAGTGCAAAGTACTCCTACAAGACTGGCAGGATTTTAATCCCGCACTCACTCTGGATGGTGAGCAGATAGAAGTAGTCGAGAAGTTCGTGTATCTAGGTAGCTGCATAAGTGCTGGTGGTGGCGTGAGTGATGAGATCAATGCACGCATAGTGAAAGCCAGAGCGGCTTATGCCAATCTGGGCCATCTTTGGTGCCTTTGTGATCTTAGTCTGGCTGTAAAAGGTCGGATCTACAACGCGTCGGTGAGAGAAGTTCTGTCCTATGCTTGTGAAACCTAGAGATGGTGCAACACCTGCTAGAGACGTTATCAGATATGGCTCAGAATAGAAGCCAGTGGCGATCCTGCTGTAACCTTCTTTTACTTTCTCCGTAAAAAGTGGTTGCTTCTTCCTTAACTGAAAGATTTCTTCTGATTGTACCTTTTCGTTTCCCTCATTATAATTACTATTACACTACCTTACACTAATCTGTTCGTTATTGTTCTGTTTTTTAGGCTCCTTACCCTCTTTTCTTTTTTTTCCTTCTCTTTAAATTCCTATTTTGTGTGGCGCATATATATTTGTTGCCCTCTTGTACCAATATTTATGTGTTCAAATAAAATAATAATAAACCACGGGACTGTATCTCCTGACGTTTCTCTACTGCATTGTGGATCAGACCTTTAAGTCAAAGGCTCGGGTGTGGCCCTGAGAAAGCCACCTGCCTCGGTTCGGGCACCCGGCCAGTATTCCAGCCTTCACACAAACCAAGTGATTTATGTGGAGTATATGTATTTAGTGCCGCTTTGTACGAATATTTGTGTCCAAATAAATAAATAAAATAATTTTGGTTAATACTGAATAGTTGATCAGTGTAAATAGTAAGCACCAAAGCCTGGTAAACGTTGATAAACATACAAATTTATATTCATATTTTAACCAAAATAAGATGGCATGATGATTTATTACTTGGTCCAAAGAAACAGATTATGTTCTGCAAAAGTGCGATTGAAATTGGGGACTCATTATTTAGGAAGAAAGTGTAAACTGTACACAAAAAGCACTTATTTTCCTCATAAAAGTATTAACTTACACATTAAGAGCTTCTCTTGCTGGTTGGGGTCCGATAGACGGTGTAACGCAGTAGCTAGAGTCGTTATCAGATATGGCTCAGAATAGAAGCCAATGGCGATCCTGCTGTAACCTTCTTTTACTTTCCTCATAAAAAGTGGTTGTATCTTCCTTAACTGAAAGATTTCTTATGATTGTACCTTTCCGTTTTCCCCATCATTGTTCTCTCTCTCTTTTTTTATTAATCATAATTCCCCACGTTCATTAGTTTTCTTCTCCTTCTCTTCAAATTATCATTGTTTTGTGTGGCGCATATATATTTGGTGCCCCCCTGTACCAATGTTTATGTGTTCAAATAAATAAATAAAATAAATACTGAAGGTTCCTGCTCTTTCTAGAGCAAACGTCCAGATTAATCATGAGTTCATCCCTGTCTATACCTTACTGGACTTTAAAAATGTAACAAGAATGCCTCTTTGAGATCAATTAGGAGATAAAAAAAAGTCGAATACATTTAAAATAAGACCAACTAAGCAATGAGTCGGCCATATAGGAGACATTCTGGAGTATGATGTATTATGTAGTCCTCTGTAAAGACAGTAGTCGGACCTATTAATGCTTCGAATCAGAAAACTAACACACGTCAATGTATCTCAGAAGCCTCTTCTAAACTAATAGATCTTCAGATCTGTCCAGAGCATTAAAAATCAAAAATAAGTTTGATGTTGACTAATGGAAAGTCTGCTTAGTAATCATGAGCGGTTGTGGGGGACAAAAACAAGAGATAATAATGATAGCAGTCACAGATGATGCTGTCTCGATTTACCAAGAAGACAGCTATTGAAAAGTGAAACGCTTATAGGAATGTAGAAGATAAATCCATAATCTACTCTCAGTCTACAAAATTAAAACCACGAGCAGAATACTCAATGGAATATTTCAACTGCTCTTTGATTACCTTCTGTTCCCGTACAACTTGACTGAAAAATTCGCCCTTGATCAGTATATCAAACATGTACATACTAACTGGCATCCGAAAATAGCAGTATTTCATGACCTCAAGGGGACATTGAATTCCTTTGATCTAGAAATTTTGTGAGTGTTTGTCATTGGAAACTTTGTGCAAGAATTACTCTAACTTTGTTAAGACTTGTTACTCTAATACATGCGAATTGGCAACCCCAAGTGTTCTCCAGAGCTGCTTACTATCCTTCTTTTTACTTAACTTTGTCATAAACAGTTTTCTAGCAATAACGCTTTCTTCGCTTAATCTATCAGCAAACTCACCAATTTATATTAGATCCAGTTACTGACAAAATGCACTACAGTGTAAATGTCATTTTTATCTTCAAATATGTTATTGATCATCACTTTCCTTTGTCGATACACCTTCTGCACCTCACCAATCCAATTTTATTCAGTGTTTCTAGTTAGTTATCGTAACTATTTATTATTATTTATTTTGACACAGATATTGGTACAAGGAGGCACCAAATACATATGCGCCACACGTCTCATTTGATATGTGTGAGGGCTGTGATACTGCCCGGGAGCCCAGACCGAAGCAGGTGGTTTTCTTAGGGGGCCACACCCCGAGCCTTCGACCTGAAGATCTGATCCACAAGGCAGTGGAGCATCGTAAGGAGATGCAGTCCCATGGTAGCCGGTGACCAACAATTGGTTCATACGCCATTTGCTCCTTCAGGATACTGGAGCCCATGTGCACCATTGATTTGGGATCCGGTTAAAGCGCCGGACATTCGCTTTTCGTCCTCTCATTTTCGTAAACAACACCCCTTCCACGAGAAGGCAGTGAGTAGGACTTCCCTGGCAGATTCGTCCTCACCTTTCGTGGCTGATGTGTCAGTTGTCAGTGTGTAATTTCCCTTTACATCTCCCCTTTGAGTGACATGATTTCAATCTAACAATTAATTCTCGCTCACTAAAGTTATCTACTAAAATTTTTACAATTATTAACCTTTCTTGACTCAGAAATTTCGAACTAGTTTTGGTGTTATGCTTGAACAACTAAGTGGTTTGCGGTCATACCAATTATACTATATCGGGAAATTTCACTCAGCCTAGTTGCTGAAAGTTTTTCATTTTTAAGTAGTTATTTCTGTAGCTATTCATCCTTTCGACGTCTGATTCCAATTCTCAGCTCAGTGTTTCTTGATCTTCCCCTTTTATTTTTCCCTTTAAGATCTTAAGGCTTGCTTCATAATCCAGTTCGATAATTTCTGCAGTGTGTGTCTTATCCACTTGCAGCGTCTTTTCCTAATTTCCTCTTCACCTGGAAGCTGGTTTGTTCTCTGCCACAGTAGGCTGTTACTGATGGTATCCGGCCAACGGACACTCAGTATCTTGCGTAGACAACTGTTTATAAATACTTCTACATTTTTGATGATGGTTGTGATAGTTTTCGAAGTTTCAGCACCATACAGTAGAACTGTCTTGATGTTCGTATTGAAGATTCTAATTTTGATATTGGTTGATAGTTGTTTTGAGTTTCATATGTTCGTCGACTGTATGAACACTGACCTTACTTTGTCCATCCTCACGTTTACGTCTGCATCGGATCCTTCACGTTCCTCGGTAATGATGATCAGGTCTGTGAAAGTTTCCTCCTGTCCCAGATTTTCTCCATCAAAGGTGTTCTCCATGTTGCATTTGAGTATCTTGCTTTTTCTTTTGTGTATGTTGAGACCTACTGATTCAGAGGCTTCTGCCACAGTGGTGGTCTTGACTTGCATTTGTTGGTGTAAATGTAAGAGAAGGGCTAAGTCATCTACGAAGTACAAATTGTCTAGTTGCATTCAAGCTATCCATTGTGTTCCGTGCTTTCCCTCAGATGTCGAGGTCTTCATAATCCAGTCGACTAGCAGAAGAAAGATGAAGGGTGAGAGTAAATGGCCTTGTCTGATTCCAGTCCTTATTTAGAATGCGTGTGTCAGCTGTCCTCCGTGCACCACTTTGCAGTGTATTCCGTTGTATGAATTCCGGATGATGTTGAAGAAGCTTCCATAAAGTCTTGCTATCCACATTGTCGAATACTTTCTCATGGTCAAGGAAGTTGATGTATAGTGACAAGTCCCATTCAGTTAGTTGCTCAACGATGATAATCCGTATTGTCGCTATTTGATCTGTGCATGACCGATCGTTACGAAATCCAGTCTGTGGATCTCGAAGCTGTACGCCTATTGAATCTTTCATTCTGTTGAGCAACACTTCCTGGTACCGATAGTAATGTGATTTCTCTGTAGTTTTCTCATTTGGTCAGATCTCCTTTCTTTGGGGTCTTGACGAGTTTTTCTTTTTTCCATTTCATCGGTACTTGTTCTTCCTCCCAAATTTTCCTGAATAGAGTGTGAGGCATGTTTGCAATCGCTTCTATATCTGACTTCAGTGCTTCAGGTGGTAAGTTGTCGGGTTCTGATGCATTCTCACACTTTGTCTAATGGCCACCCTGAATTCTTCGATGTTCGGTGGTTTCAATGGAGCTGGCCTATTCAAGAATTCCTCGAATCGTTCTACCCATCTGTTCCTCTGTTCTTGAATCTCAGTGATTGTCGTGTCTTCTTTGTTTTGACCGGTTTCTGGTTTACTATATTTCCCTTCTAGTTTCTTTGTCGTGTCATATAGTTGTTTGATATTTCCCATCCTATAAGTGCATTTCGTGCCTCTTTGGACAGCATCAGAGCAACTCCCTGAGTGTGTAAAGCATTCTCGTCTTCGTGACCTGAGTACAGCAGCATCTCTCCCGTACTTCGCTGTCCAGCTTGTGTCAAATGGGTTTCGCTGATTCCGAGCACTGCTAATTTGTATCTCCTCATTTCCATAGCTATTCGGTTGATCCTCTCGGCCTCCCACATTGTACGGACGTTCCATGTACCTATTGAAGTTGTTGCTGAGGCTGTTACAAGGGTCATCCACCTCGTGATTTCTGAAGAATCTCGGCTTTCATCATGAGGCGTCATAATTCTTCCTTCAACTCGGTGGGGGGCAGAGTTTAAATGGTTTAATTTATTTATTCCGGTTACCGTTTTTTTAGCAAGCTTGTTGTTTCGGAAAGGTGTTGCCGACCCAACGAACAACGCTCCTTTACCCGGGTTTAGCACCGGCAGCAGCCTTAGAAGAACTACAGGAGGAATTATTTTTCTTCGTAGTGACATAATAATAATACTAAGAGTAAACAGATGGTTTATTCGTTTTGAGTGAAAGTTTATTTATTATGTCGTTTGCACTGAAATACTGTTGTGTGAACTGTAGAGTTTCTTGTCATTTTCGTCTTAGCATTCGAAACCTGAGTGAGGTCGAATGATTATGGCATTGGAAGCAAACGGTTTCTGTTACACAAATTTACCACTGGCATAATATTTGCTAATCCTTCTTACTCTTGTAAGAGTGATTTGTTCCACAGCTTTTCAGCACACATTTTATTAATTTTTTCATTAAACAAATAAGAACTACATTCTAATAAGGTAAATCGGCTGAAGCACCTAAATTTCGATCACTTTGCTGTATGTTCAAACTGTTTTCCTGATTTGGTTTGTGTAATCAGGTATCTTCTTTGATCTTCACGCAAGTATGACTCAAAGCCCAATAAACACAGTTGTAATTAGTAAATGAGTTATATCATTATTTTTCATTTTGTCTTAAGTTTATATAATTCACTTTATGGAATTGAAAGAAATGTTTAACTAAATATTTTCATGTTTCATAACTTTTTAAGAAAAACAATCCTAACGATTTTCTGTGTAATTCTTTTGTTATTCTCATTCTCACATATGGTCAGTTTTTTATCATGTTATTACACATGTTTCACTACTCTTTATTCTCAGGTACTTGTTACTGATATTCGAGCCCATGAAGATCGTATTAAGGAATTAGATGCCCGCGCAGATGAGTTTATTAGGTCCGGTGCTTGGGATGCTGATATGGTCCGTGAGCGCAAAAAAATGATTAATGAACGATATGAAAAGGTAAATGATTTATTACAATAAAAGAATCGGTATAATATAGAATTATCAATGCCTTTTTGTGTTCATTCCTTCGTTCTGCTTGATATTGTGACGACAAGCAGCTTACTACTATAGTGCTCTTTATGACCTAATTACTGATCGTTTGTAATTAACCTTATAGATTTTGGATATGTCAGAAAATCGAGCTGTAACGCTCGGCAAGGCTAAGCGTTTGCATGATTTTTATCGCAATATTGACGATGAAGAAGCTTGGATCCGTGAAAAAAAGATTTTGGTTAGTTCAGAAGATTATGGACGTGATCTTATCGGAGTACGCAACCTACGCAAAAAGCATGAACGAATTGAAAATGAGGTAGCAGCTCATGATCCATTCATCAAACAAGTTATTGCACAAGGAGAGGAACTTACTGTTGGTGTTCAGCTTGCTGATCCTGAGGAAATAAAGAAAAGAATCCAGGTGAGTTTATAATAATAATAGTTATTATTATGATTATTCTTTTTTTCAAACATCTGAATTAATAAACTAACTCTTCTGGTTTATTTCATAAATCTGCTACTAAAAAATCGAAAACTTTCTTAAAACACAAATTGAGTACTGTCATCCAATTTTAATTCCTTCACATTATACTTTTCTTAGCACCGACCCGACGAACTACGCAGAGTGAGACGACTAAGAATCTTTTGAGAACCAAAATAATGCACATGGTTCATGTACATACTTAACATTTACTAGATTAGTCTGAATAGGAACATATAAGTTGGAGTAAGGCTAGGTAAATAATTTGCTTACTTACAATATCCTTCCCACGCTTACATTCCCTGCTTGCTATGTCCCTTTGAAGGAGCCTGTGATCTGTCTAGAATCTCCGGGTAAACTACTTACTGCCCGTATGAAACTTCTGGTTGTTTTATATCTCTAATTTACGTTCATCATATTTTGCTGTTATTTAGTGTACATAGCTCATACATGACCATCTGAAGTATTAGAATGTCCTCTTAATCTGTTGAATGTTGCTTAGTTTAGTCATAAATATAGTTTGTATACAAGATTGAAGTGTTTAGTAGCACTTAAATTATATATATTGTATATGAAATGTGGCGAACTTATTAGTTAAATCCATGTTCTACTACGGATTGTCTATTATCCCGATAAATAGTTATATTAATGTTCTTAGTGGGGTTGTTATCAGTAATAAAGTCGAGTTATAAGCGAAAAGACAATTTGGCGTGTATTCTTTTCATGTCAATTTAGTCCTAGATATATATCACGTACCCGGCTCCAAGATTCTGTCTATCATTCAGTCAGCTACAACGTAGGACCAGGCACATATATGCATCGTTCCAAGTTGCCATACCTCATTAGCACAGCAAGATGAACACTGGATTCATAAAAGCAGTTACTTCATTTGTGTTATATATAAAAGAAAGATTTTGTATAAGAATGTAGTACAGGAAGTGAGAATTAGTTCGTAGAAAGGAGGATATGAAGCGATTTTAATCTCATAGTTTAAGGGAAGACAAAGAGTGTATACACATACGCCATTGTGATCGATTCTGAGCCATGTCACGCAGAGTCTTCAACCATTGGTTACGATAGTCACGCGGACCCCAACCAGACAGTCTGCATCTACCAACATGGCTCAGACTAGAAGTTAGTGACTTCAAGGACTGATTCCACGTTTTGGTTTGGCCGTCCCCAACTTTGTTCCAACCTTAGCATTACGCGCTGTGGTAATCGGTGTTCAGGCATACGTAACACGTGGCACAACCATCTCAGTCGGCGAAGATCCACAACCTCATCTGAAGTTAGCTTGATTTTCTCGTGTTTGCCAAAGATTCTGTACAATAGTTTGAAAACACTAATCTGTCAATTTTTCAATTTTTTTCAAGCGTCTGCAAACTGCGTGGGAAGAATTGCAAGGTCTTACAGCACTTCGACGACAGAAATTAGAAGAATCCTTAGCATATCAAGACTTTATTGACGGAGTAGAAGAAGAGGAGGCTTGGATTCTCGAGAAACAACATTTACTTAGTAGTGAGGATTACGGCGATACTCTTGCTGCTGTGCAAGGCCTTTTAAAGAAGCACGATGCCTTCGAAACCGATCTTAATGTAAGTAAGACTTTTATTGGCAATCTCTTTGTTTGAGAGTTGACTGATTTATTTTTCTATTACAGATACATAATGAAAAGTGTAAAGAACTTTGTTTAACTGGATCTGATTTGGTGCAATCTGAGAATCATAATCGTTTGTCTATTCAGCAACGATGTGAAGGATTGATAGAAAAGTTGAATGCACTCAATCAGGCTGCCCAACGTCGTAAAACAAATCTTACTGACAACTCAGCATTTTTACAGTTTATGTGGAGAACGGATGTCGTTGAATCTTGGATAGCTGATAGGGAAACGCAAGTACGTAGTGATGATTACGGGCGAGATTTAAGCAGCGTTCAAATCTTGCTGGCGAAACACGCAACCTTTGACACAGCATTGGAATCTTTCCACACAGAAGGAATTCAAACAATTACTGAACTTCACGATCGCCTTATCGCAGCAGAGCACAATCAGAGTCCAGCCATTAAGCAACGGTTAGTAGCAAACTGTTCATGAAATAGTTCATTATATACACAGTACTTTATTTCTAGTTCAAAGAATAATATCATTTGTTCTCAACATATTATTGATTTCAGTTTTACCTCGCTAATGGATCGTTGGGAACGTCTACGTCGTGAATCTGCCCGTCGCAAAGCTGATCTCATTCAGCTACAAGAACAGTATCGAAAGGTTGAGGAACTTTATTTGGCGTTCGCTAAGCGGGCGTCAACCTTCAACTCTTGGTTCGAAAATGCTGAGGAGGACTTAACTGACCCCGTGCGTTGTAATTCATTGGATGAAGTTCATGCGCTTTGTGAAGCTCAAGAGCAGTTCAAAGCATCTCTCAAAGCCGCAGAGGCTGATTTTCAACAATTAGCTCAATTAGATCGCGAAATCAAAAGCTATGGCGTAAGTCCTTATCGCACGATGGCATTCATGTGTAGATTCCTCTACAAGTAACTTTTTGGATTGAAGAACTTAACTAGAATACCCTGTGCTAAGTAACAGTGGCAAAACATAGATTTTAGTTACCGATCACGAGAATCTACCATCATTGTAGGTACAATAAGAAACTACAACTCATTTTCTCGCTTTTTATTTCTACGATTTTTGTGTCTAACATTATTTTAAGATAAAATAACCGGTTCATGAAACATGTAATTCAAGTTAACATCTGATAACATCACTTGACCCAACATAGAGGACCAAACAATTCTAATGTCTGATATGATATGACGTTTAAAAAAAGGTGGTCCGTTAATCTATTAAAATCGTTCTTAAACGTTTATTTGTTGGACAGTGATGACTATTGCGTCCATCCCATTGGTCCATAGTAAACTAATATGTTACATTAACCTTTTCTGATATCATCAGCGATAAACATTATAACATTCGCTCCATTTCATTTCTCTTCACGTTTGTTGGAGGAAATCAAGGAGTTGATATTAGCCATCTATGGTGATTTAATCTCATTAGAAAATGTCAGTTGCTGAGTAACTAAAGAAAGCTCAAATAACTCTCAAACAATTGTTTAGGCGTAGACTTGTGAAACAAGCTCACTGAAAATTGATTTTAGTAATGAAAGACACTAGTTAACAAATCTGTATTCGCTTCTACGTAATAAACAATTCCAAACTAAAGAAAAAATATAACTGTACTGTTTGATTTATTTAAAATTATCTTTAATTATAAGCCATCATTTAAAAGTTTTCAGAATTTTTATTTAGAATTGGACAGTCAAATGGATACAGCTGACTATATACTATTCCTACTCGACTACTTTTTACTTATGTAATGAAGTATGATATTTAAATTCTATCATATTTATTTTTACTTCGTTTGTTAAATATTACCACACATTCTTTTTTATCATATTTCTAAGGTTGGCATGAATCCGTACACTTGGTTTACAATGGAGTCACTTGTGGAAACTTGGCGTAACTTACAGAAAATCATTTTAGAGAGAGATGCTGAACTTCGACGTGAAACGGTTCGACAAGAGCAGAATGACCAGCTTCGTCAACAATTTGCAGTAGCAGCTAATTCTTTCCATCAGTGGCTACAGGTGAGTAGTGAACAGCTTCTAAAACGTGTAACCAAATTTCTAGGTTTAAAATTCCTATAGTGTATAGCTGTTCCCACTAATTGTTGTTGACTATATGCTACTTTTCTTTACTCGCTACATATGTATGCATGTTGTATTGATTGTTTTATAAACTTGGTTCTCATTACAGAAAGTTCGGACATCGATGATGGAAGCCAGTGGAACTCTAGAAGAACAGTTAGAAGGTATTCGGGAAAAATCTTCAGAAGTTAGAGCCCGCAAAAATGATTTGCGAGAGGTTGAAAAATTGGGTACTTTGCTGGAAGAACATCTAATTCTGGATAACCGATACACGGAACATAGTACTGTAAGTTAGTACATTTTTTTCGATTTTTGTCCCTACTTTTGTTTCCTATCAACAAATGGAACTTTACGATTAAAATTATTTTCAGGTCGGTCTAAGTCAAGCTTGGGACCAGTTAGATCAACTTGCGATGCGTATGCAACACAATTTAGAACAACAAATCCAGGCTAGAAATGTTAGTGGAGTAAGCGAAGAGGCACTTCGCGAGTTCTCTATGATGTTCAAACATTTCGATAAAGATAAATCTGGGCGTTTGGATCATCGCGAATTTAAATCATGTTTACGTGCACTTGGCCATGATTTGCACGAGGTTGGAGAAGGTCAAGTAGATGCTGAGTTCGAATCTATATTAAACGTGGTGGATCCTAATCGTGACGGTTACATAACACTTCAAGAGTTTATGGCATTCATGATAAGTAAAGAAACTGAAAATGTTCAGTCCCGAGACGAAGTCGAAGAAGCCTTCCGTGCATTAACTAAAGAAGGGAAAGAATACATCACCAAAGAAGAGCTATATGCGGTGCGTCTTAGTCATTTACCTTGATTTTATTCTGTTTATATTTATATGTATGTACACCATGTATAGTTAATCATATCCCAGTTGTATCTAGAATGGTTTGCTCTAAGAGTTGACCATGTGAAATAATTTACCTTGTTTTAAGTGTTGAGTTTTAGAGTCCATTTTTATCTTGTTGTAGGGTGTTCTAATATGTTAGCAAGGAATTTAGCATCAATCAGTTTGACGAAGTTCTGTATATGTTGTATTAGTTTCTCCGACTACGTTAAAAATAGGTTTATCATTTACTATTATATATATTCGAGGCTTTATTTTTGAAACAACTATGGATTTCGAATATGACATTACTATTCGAATTACGTGCGTACAAGCTCACTTTGAATATGAGCAGATAATTGCAAAGGTAGCTATTCTTTGTCTAAACAGTTTTGTATCTGTCGGGTCATTTCTTTCATTTTTTGTTTCTATAAATTCAACTTTTTTATATTACAGAACTTATCCAAAGAGCAGGCAGAATATTGTAGTCGAGTCATGCCTCCATACTACACTAAGAGTGGTCAGGCAATTTTGGATGCCTATGACTACCAAGCCTTTACGAGACAACTTTTTGTGAGCTAGTTACAACAAGGTGAATTTGGTTGGTTTCTGCGCTTTCGTTATACAACTTTCTTGGTTTCGTTTTCGCTTACTCCATGCTCATTCGCTAGGTTGCAACTGTTTCTGGTTTTAATTTCATTACTGATTTCATGTTGTGGCGTACTTTTTGTAGCTTCCTGATATCCCAAATCCTATTTAATGCACTTTCATATTGTTGTGAAATGTTGGATTTAGTTTCAATTTTAAAGTCTTGTGATCAAAATTTATTTTCTGGTTGGTTACCAGTCTCACCTACATTTAATTTTCACTTTTTAAAATAAATTATTAGATCATAATTCCATTTCTCTTTTTCTTTTTCCGGCTCAATAATGTATGAGCAGACGTAAGGCTTCTAAACAGTTTCCCTTAAGCTGTAGTTACCTGTCATGTTTTACTAATTGGATAATGCACTTTTAGTAGTCCGTATTACACAATATGAATCAGATCTTCGTTTTCCACCATTTTATCTTGTGTTGAAAAAATAACACCCACTAATTTTTTTGTGAATGATCGCTGTTATAAATTTGATCGTATATGGAATATAAGTATCATACAAGGAAATCATCTAATGAAGTAGTTCATTGTAACTTAATTTTTCTTATTACTGAAAGAGAAATTAATAGCTATTTTTCTCTCGACGGTTTCATTTCCTCAACTTATACAGTCGTAATTCAGCTGAAGTCTGTCGAAAAAGAGTAGAAGAATTACGTGATTTCAAGTGTCAAACGAGTTTTGTGCAACGGTCAGTAAGTTAGAGAATAATGATATGTTGTATTTGTGTTTGTCAATCAATCGACCACGACTAAACGCCTGATAAACAACAGAAAATGAGGTAGTATTACTGAAGTTTCATGCCGAATTACGACAACAGAGATCAGTGTGTCTTTTAGATTCATATCTCAGACCACAGTTCCATATGAAAGTCGATCAGCTACAATACAGGACCAGGCATCGGTTTAAGTTGTCATACCTAATTAGCCGAAAAGCATTGCGTCGAGAATTAGAAGCAGACATCAAAAGGATGAATAGCGACTGAACGGATTGTCCAAGACGGTGCTAGTGAGCGGCCTATGCTCCTCCACGAGGGGCAACAAGCGTAAGTACGTAATAAGCATAAGAAAATGAACACCAAATTCATAGAAGCAATAACTTCAACAGTAGTAATATATAAAAGAAAGACTTCATGTAAGGATATGATACAGGGAGAAAGAATTAGCTCATAGGAATGAAGGTGTATGTATAATTTTAATCTCACTGTTTAAGGGAAGACAAAGAGTGTATACACATACGCCATTGTGATCGATTCTGAGCCATGTCACGCAGAGTCTTCAACCATTGGTTACGATAGTCACGCGGACCCCAACCAGACAGTCTGCATCTACCAACATGGCTCAGACTAGAAGTTAGTGACTTCAAGGACTGATTCCACGTTTTGGTTTGGCCGTCCCCAACTTTGTTCCAACCTTAGCATTACGCGCTGTGGTAATCGGTGTTCAGGCATACGTAACACGTGGCACAACCATCTCAGTCGGCGAAGATTCACAACCTCATCAACTGATTTACTATCATTCCCTAATACCCTGCGTCTAACCTCACTATTAGTTACCCGGTGATCCCAGCAGATGCGAGCAATATTTCTAAGGCATCTGTGACCAAATACTGGAAGCTTACGAATATCTACTCTTAGTGGCCACGTTTCGCAGCCGTAAAGCAAAACAGAACGAACTGTCACGCAGTACACTCGTCCTTTTGTTGATAGACGGATATCTTGCCTTCGTTATAGGTGACGTAAGTTGGCAAAAGCCGAACGAGCTTTTCGAATCCGTACTGATCAAACTTCCAGGATAAGTGAAGTTGTCAACGCGTTCGACTGCTTCATTCCCTATCGTTAATTCAGGTGTTGACGCAGGCCAGTCCTGAAGCAACAACTTGCATTTAGAGGGAGAGAAGTGCATTTTAAACATTCTAGCATTGTTGCTCAGTGCTACCAAAAGACTGCATTTTATCAGCCTTTTCATCTGCATATTCTAATTGGATAAGTTGACCTCCTGATAGGAGGTGAATTCCTGGAAGTTCATTTGACGAGAACGTTATTTCCGCCAGTAGGTATGTGATAAAGTTAAACAAAGCTGGAGATAGTGGACAGCCTCGACGGACACTACTAGAGTTGACAAAATCAGATGTCAGATCGCAAGATTTGTGTATTCCCTATGTACACCTTTTAATGACACACTGCAACAGAACCTCTCGGTTCACAGAGTCAAATGCTGCTTTTAAGTCAAGAAAGACCACCATTGTCTGTGTTCTAGAACCTGACGAATGGTGAATATGTGATCAATGTAGCCTCGACCAGGTCTAAAGCCAGCCTGACTTTCTCGCGTTTCCAGTTCACAAGTCTTAGACGTCCGATAATTATTCAGGCTAGTATTTTAGATGCTATGTTAGTGAAACTAATTCCTTTATGGTTTCCACAGGATGATTTTGACCCCTCCTTATATATTTGGACAATCAGTGATTGTGATCAGTCAGATGAGATTATATCCAACTCTTAGATCTTAGCTAAAATATTAATCAACTTAATCGCTAAAGCTGGACCAACATCCTTAAAGACCACTGTAGACAATCCATCTGGACCAGCTGCTCTTCCTCGTTTCAGATTAGCCGTAGGTTTTTGAACTTCAATTAGATTGTGAGGGCCTATTTCCGTGTTTTATGTAGGCTGTTTGGAAATGGGTGATTGTAGACGTCATCTGAACTGCTCCTAAAAGTTTCCCGCCCATCATCCTAAACTTCTGGGCTGAGAGCGGATAAGTTTCGTGCTTCAATTACACTTGATTTCTTAATTCCGGTTTCTTTTATTAGTTTGAAAAGCTGTGTCGTGCTACCTTCTGCCGCTGACTTTTCCATTTCTTTTGCTTTGGTTACCCTCCACTGCTCACGGTCGTTCCGTAAACTTTTGTTTAATCTCCAACTTGTTTTCGCTCTTCTTCGTGTTCGTGGTCAGATAGAGTGAGTTTATGAGAATCTATCAGTACGATATACTTAGTAGTAATCTATTGGTTCTTCGTAACCCTTTGGTTCAAATCACTAATAGATGTCACTGCTGTTTCCACATCTTTTCATATATCTTTTTAAGCAACATCTGAGTCAGCCTCGTTTTCAAATCTGCCTATGTGTGACCTCGTTAGTTTTTGGAATCTAATTTCGACTTTCTCATCACTGAGTTCAACTCTCATAGGTCTTAATGTGTCTTTTCCGCGTCCAGTGAGGCTCAAGCAAATGCGTGCTCGTATTAGAGTATGATTGGAGTCTAAACATGTACCCCAAAACGATTGACAGTCTTTTGTCGAACCTCTTCAATGATGATTGATGACAATATGGTCTATCTGAGTCCATCGTTGGTTTGGTGTAGGGGTTCTCCATGTTAAACTATGTCTCTCCCCATGCTTAAAATTTGTGTTTGCTAAAAATAAACGTTTGTCTGAACATAGTTACAGCGGACGGTCACCATTATTTGTTTGCTGAGACGAAGTAATAAAATACCCACCTAAATGTTTTTCTGTTTGTCTCAAGCTACCTACCTGTGAATTAAGGTCACCTGCTAGGAGTGCTACATCTGAGTGTTTAGCTTTTTGAAGACGTTTAGAAAGTTTTCTGTAAAGGTCATCTTTCACGTCATTTAGGCTGCAGTGAAAGGGAGCGTAGGCAAAGATGACGAAAAGGCAACGACATGTGTTCCTATCCTTCCGAGTTCTTACGAAGCCGTTCAGCCGAACAGCATATAGGCAACTGTTAACATGAATTCATTCTAAAATTGCTTGTTCTTCCCTCGTACTTCGTGATACGACTACAACCCCACCTTCCTTTGTGAGAAGGCAGCATCGCTGCTATTCTGGTTGTCTGAGGGAAACGCCTCACTGCCATCACACCTCTCTACAATCAGCAGTACAACTTCGCCCTCGGACCTTGGGTTTTCTGCCTTTAGTCTTATCGTCCTTCAACAGACCTGTCTGGCATGACAGGACCTCGAGGAACGATTGTTCCAGCGAGTACAGCCCAATTGGTTCCTCGCGATAGGCAAACCCGACTTCCATGTCAAGGTTGCAGCAACAGTCGATCAATGTGAAAGTAAATCCGTCGTTAGCTTTTTTTTGCGAGTCAAAACCAAACACACCTAGGAAACGTTTAGTAAAATAGTTTGGTCAGCAGTGGCGAAGTAAAAATATTACAGATGATTATCTTAATCTATCTGATATTATTAAAATTCGCCGAATGGTACGTTGTGATTTTACAGACTAATTTATGTAGCCGTAGAGTTATATTCGTTATTATTTACGCAAATATGTTTTTGGTGATTCAGATATGCTTCGAAAACAAGTTCTTCATTGAGTTAGTCATTTTGTGAATTAAGGGATGTGTTTAAACATACCAGATGTAAAAGACCTTAAGATAACAAGAAAGAATTCAATTGATATCTACGTTATTTCATTATGCGCACGTCAGTGAATAATGTTTTTCAACGTCTTAAACGAATTCACTGATCAAAATGAGTGCCGTAAACATTCTGGAAATGTTTTCTTTGTAGCCAATCAATATCAGACTTAATAAAATTCAAAATGACATGATTTAAACAGCATGCAGATACATTCCATTGTAAAATGAATTAGGACAGTAAAAAAATCTACGAAGATCGTATGCACTACATAATGGTTGCACTGAAATTAAACCTCAGTTAAAACCACTTTTCCATCATGACCATATTTAAATTTCAAAATGTTGTTATAATCCATTTCAAGAAAAATAATTGTTCAAACAGCTGTTAATTCAAGATTTCTGGAAAGATCAAAAATAAAGATTCACTTAATTATTCATCGGCAAGACTAACGTCTCTGCAATTTCAAGTGTTATCTTTAAGTCCAGCTGCATTTTAATTATTTCGAAAAGTAAAATTAGTTACCCACACAAAATGAATTCAAAGTTTT